CTCGCGCCCGTCTCTGGAGCTCCTTTAGGCAGCGCTCTTAAAACCCCTCTCCTCGCGCACCAGGAAACACAGAGGCAAGAAAAGGTCTCTTGCCTCTTGGGTAGGTCCAGACTTTTCCCCGGACTCCCTCCCGGCTAGCCGTGGCGCACTAACCCCTTCGGGCTATGTTCAAGCCGCCAACCCCAGTCCTCTCCCTGAGCTCCGACCGAAACCGAAACCGAGCCTCAGCTCGCAGCCCCGCCCGCCCCCGGCGGGTGAGCACACGAGCCTCTCGGGCTGGTGAGCGCCGGTCGGCGCCGATCCTCTGTGCGGGAATCTCTCCGCTTTGCCCTCCGCGCCCCTGTTGCTGTGCTGTCCTCCGCGGCTCCGAAGCTCCCCGCTCCGCCTCCCGCAATCTCTGCCCGCGAAGGGGCTCCTAGTGTGTGGAGACCTTTCCTCCTTCACGGCTCCCTCCCACTGGTGCAGGTACCGTCCTTATCCTTTTGTCTCTGTTTATTCTTTTTTCTCTTGCCCTACCCAGGTACGTGGGGAGTTTCTTGCCTTTTGGGAGGTCTGAGGTCTCCTGCCAGCGTTCAGTAGGTGTTCTGTAGGAGTTGCTCCACGTGTAGATGTATTTCTGGTGTATCTGTGGGGAGGAAGGTGATCTCTGCGTCTTACTCCTCCGCCATCTTGGAAAGAGTCCTCCCTTTGCCTCCTTTCATACTCACAAGAATATACTATACAGAAGGCTAAGCATTAAGTCTTTTTCAGTGCTGTCTTCTCTTAAACCTCTCTGAAGGAATATGTTCATCATATGTTTAGTATCCTGATTGCTTACTATATTGTAGGCCTTCCACTTGGCTTGGTGGTGATCTCATTATTGAGATAGATACATTGGGAAATTTTAAACAAATGTAATGTGGGCTTATGGACAGATTGTATCTGAATCCCATGTAACAGACAAAGGAAGGGGAGTGACAGCTTTTGCCCTTGAGTTTTATTGAAAATCAGCTAACTTGCTCTTCTACTTCTTTTTACTTTCTTGTCCTCAGAACCTTAACCAGAACCCTCGGACTTTGCTACCTAAGTTCTATGGACTTTACTGTGTGCAGGCAGGTGGTAAGAACATTCGAATTGTGGTGATGAACAATCTCTTACCACGGTCAGTCAAGATGCATATCAAATATGACCTCAAGGGCTCAACCTACAAAAGGCGGGCTTCCCAAAAAGAGCGAGAGAAACCTCTCCCCACCCTTAAAGACCTGGACTTCTTACAGGACATCCCTGATGGTCTCTTTTTGGATGCTGATATGTACAATGCTCTGTGCAAGACCCTGCAGCGTGACTGTTTGGTGAGTTTGTCACATTTCCTTCTCTCTCAGGCACCAGAAATCTCAGTCTGTAAAACAGCTTGGTCGTTCTTAGGCATCTAATCTGTGGGAGATGGGACTCTGTTCCTTAGCTCCATCTGTGCCATACTTCATTTAAAATAACTTTTATATTAGATCATTTATGCCTTTACATTTTTACTTTCTCCCCGTTTGTCTAACTCCCTTCCCCTGTCTTTTTTTTCTCTACCTGCTACCTGTCCTGGGCTTCATAAGCATACATTCTCCTTATTTTCATACCAGCACCATCATGGCTCAGTTTTTGATCCTGTCTGCCAAATCCAAATTTATATCTTATAAGCTGAGTGCTGCTGAAAAAAATTACACAACTGTGTATACTGGCATCTCTACGGATTTATGATATCCACCCCTACCTGGGCCCTCAGTATTCCTCATCACTCCATTTCCTGTTCCTCCCAGAGATTGCACATGATTGGCACTCTCTTCAGACAGTTTTCTGACTCTCATCCCCCCAGCCTTGTTTCTCAACAAACTGCCTCAGCTTTCTATTCTGTACCATCCCTTTGTCCTGCCCCCATCATCACTTTATAAATGGATCTACACTTAACCATCCTTAATCTATATTTTCTTCCCAACTTGGTCGATTATTCCAAGTCAGTCCCTTTTGTGACCTAGATCCATTTTCTCCTGTTTCTCTAGGATCCTGCTTCATCACTTACTTCCTTTCCCACCTCTGGCTTCAGCCTCAACTGACTTTTCTATCTATATACAAACAAGTTTATCTCTTTTTTATTTTAAGATTAAGAGAATGTTTTTCAATGTCTTCATTTAATGATGCCTCCATTTCTCTTTTCCCTTTCTCTTCTCCTATTCCTGCCTTAACCCACTGTGTCCTGGCTTTTGCTCTCACCACTTCAATTGAACTGCTCTCTCCAATGACCACCTAGATGCTGAATAGAGAGTACTTCTCAGTCCTTCCTTGAATTTTCTGCAGTATTTGACAGTTGATTGATTCCACTTTCTTTTTTTGTTTGTTTTTTTTGCGGTACGCGGGCCTCTCACTGCTGTGGCCTCTCCCGTTGCGGAGCACAGGCTCCGGATGCGCAGGCTCAGCCGCCGTGGTCCACGGGCCCAGCCGCTCCACGGCATGTGGGATCTTCCTGGACCGGGGCACGAACCCGTGTCCCCTGCATCGGCAGGCGGACTCTCAACCACTGCATCACCAGGGAAGCCCTGATTCCACATTCTTAACTTCTGTTGGTTTTTGGGACATCTTTCCCTCCTGATTTTTCCACCTTTTTTTTTTTTCTTTTTTTTTTGGCAAACTGCTTTTGTAGGATTGTCATCTTCTATTCAGTCCATGATGTTATCCATCCTTGCCTTTCTTTGCTTACTCTGCATCTACTTCCAGGATAATGCCTATTTTAGTTTGGCTCTTTTGGTTGTGAGGACTGGAGACTTGGTGGAGCAGAGAGGTTTTTCAAACCACACATAAGAATCAGTCCTGGGCTTCCCTGGTGGCGCAGTGGTTGAGAGTCCACCTGTCGATGCTGGGGACACGGGTTCGTGCCCCGGTCTGGGAGGATCCCACATGCCGCGGAGCGGCTGGGCCCATTAGCTATGGCCGCTGGGCCTGCGTGTCGGAGCCTGTGCTCCACGGCGGAGAGGCCAAGAATCAGTCCTGAACTCTCTTTATCCCTTACTCTATCCACCTACCAAAACCCCTAAAGTGGGCTGCTGGAACTGGTGGAAATATACAAGGTTGAGAACTGTAGGAGACAATCCAGGCTCCTTAATATGACACACCAGGCCTGTCATTGTCTTGCCTCTACCATCCTCTCTCACGTGCCAAACACCTAGCCTTTGCATTTTATGTTCTAGCAACAGTAAATTATACCTCCCTGGACGTAGCCTGCTGTTTCATGCTTCCAGGCCTTGGCATTCTTCTTTCCTTCCTTTATTTACTTGCATTTATTTTCTGTCTAATCGATCCCTCATAAACCTATTTATGTACGTCTCTAGTATTCCTCAGTCATGTATGCACTTCCATTGTTACACATAGTAGACTGTATTGTATTTATTTTTACATTAGTTTCCCTTTCTAAATTATAACATCCATGAGGACAGAAGCTCTCTTACGTATCTTTGTATCCACATATGCAGGCACAGTGCCTACAGATGGTAAGGATTCAGCAAATAATGAACTGAAGTGAAGCTGGCCATATAAGGACCTGCCACAGATCTGCTCTGTCACAAAGTTTACTTTTACCAGACCCTCCTTGTGGATTTTTTTAGAGCTCAAATATGTGTTTCTTCTTTCATTGAGAATATAATGCTCTTTTCATGAAGAGATTCAAGGAAAGAACAAACAAAGAGGATCTTGTGGGCTAATTTGTATGTACTCTGGTGAAGGAAAGCTGAAGGGATATCAGTGAAGGGTGACCAGAGGAGGTCAATGTAGTGTTCTCCAAGGAGTAGGAGGAGCAAAGACTGATCCTGTGGTTATAGTTCTGGAGGTTCACTATCAAGAACAGTTAGATGTAGGGGTAAAACAGGAATAAAGACAGAGACCTACTGGAGAACAGACTTGAGGATATGGGGAGGGGGAAGGGTGAGGTGTGTTAGGGCGAGAGAGAGACATGGACATATATATACTAACAAACGTAAGGTAGATAGCCAGTGGGAAGCAGCCGCATGGCACAGGGAAACCGGCTCGGTTTTTTGTGGCTGTCTGGAGGGGTGGGATAGGGAGGGTGGGAGGGAGGGAGACAAAGAGGGAAGAGATATGGGAACATATATATATGTATAACTGACTCACTCTGTTATAAAGCAGAAACTAACACACCATTGTAAAGCAATTATACCCCAATAAAGATGTTAAAAAAAAAAAAAAAAAGAACAGTTAGATGAGGAAAGCTGTGAGATCCTGAAAAAGGTTCTCTTACCTCCCAAGGCTCAGATCATGTTTTTTCCTTCCATTAGGTGCTGCAGAGCTTCAAGATAATGGACTATAGCCTCCTGGTGTCAATCCATAACATAGATCATGCACAACGAGAGCCTTTAGGCAATGAAGCACAATATTCAACTGACACTCGCAGACCAGCCCCCCAAAAGGCTCTCTATTCCACAGCCATGGAATCTATCCAGGGCGAGGCTCGACGAGGTGGCACCATGGAGACTGAGGACCAGTGAGTGGACTCGGGCGCTGGGAAGGAGTGCATAGGCTCAGAGCACTTTTTCTTGAGGGAGGGACACAGCTTCTGAGAAGGAGTAGCCTTTATTCAGTAGTTAAGTCAATAACATTAATGCTTAAAGAACTATAGGATGAGCTTTCCTAAGAACGTAAAAGGAAAGGAAGATGTCTTAAATTTGGGATTTGTACATCTGGGAAGGAGAACTATTCAAAATTAAGAGACTTTTTTTTTTTAATTTAATTAATTAATTTATTTTTAAACAAACATATAATTTCTTTTTTTTGTTGTTATTTTATTTTATTTTTATTTTATTTATTTTTTAGTTTTGGTTGCACCGAGTCTCAGTTGTGGCAGGGGGGCTCCTGAGTTGCAGCTTGATGGCTCCTTAGTTGTGGTTCACTGGCTCCTTTAGTTGTGGCATGTGTGCTCCTTAGTTGCGGTTGGTGGGCTCCTTTGTTTTGGCATGCA